GGTGAGCTGCCTGGAGCTGGGTCCCCCAGCTGACTAGATTTCCACAAGATACACTGGCAGAGACAACAGTCTCTGTAGCTCACACAGCCCGCAAGCGCGTGACGAAATTCAAATTTCGTCACGCTGACGTTTTGCATATTCATGTACAAGCCCGCGCGCCGGCCGGGTCGTCACCTGTCATGAATTTCGTCACCTCCGACAATCCACCCGCCTATTTCGTCAGCTGCCGCTTTCAACCCTCAGTCCACGCCGCCATAGCTACTACCCTCAAAACAACACTTCAACATGAGTCTCCAAATATGCACCTGTGACACATGCATTCAACAAACCATCACGAATCCCAATGGTGAAACAACTCAAGGCTGTTGGGTCCACCCAAGCACCCGTCGAAGGCATTGGGCACAAACAACTACCCCTCTGGATGATCTAAATGAATTAAACACAGCACTTCCATCTGACTCTGCTCCTCCTGAGACTTCACAAATCAGCAACTCAGAATCCGAAACAGAAGAAATGATCATAGAGCCTGAATGTATCCGTGAGTTTTTCAGTTTTGTCTTGTTCTTCAAAGGTCTTACCAATGCTAACAACAGCATCCACTACCACTGTTTGATAGGATACATATATTATTTTATTACATGGCTCAGCTTGATCTGTGGCGTTAGTCAAAACCACTGTCGAATTGCACGAGATTGGATTGTCTTCATTATCAAGATTTTCCGAAAATTACCTCAAGATCGTAACGGATATCTAAAAAGCTATAAAGATGGGCGAACGATTACGAAGCATCTTGGGTTAGATCCCGAACTCGAGAGTAGTATATGTTGCCCTAAGTGCTTTAGCCTCTACGAACCTGAAGACGCACCATCCAACTGCTCTTATCAAAAATCCAAGAAAGCTCAAGTTTGTGGCGAAGGTCTTTTCAAATCGAATCAAGATAAACTCTTACCTCGGTACCAACCCGTCTCACATGCCAAGCCACCTTCCTCGCCTACTTTCAAGCCATTCACTCCCCGCCTGATGTACCATACTCAGAAGTTCGATTCTTGGCTCAAGTGGTTCTTGAATATTCCTGGCATCGAAGATGAGATCTTTTCCTGGCAACAGCAAGTCCAATCATCCACCGAAAAACGAATCGTTGATATTCAACAGTCCAAAGCTTGGCAAGGTTTTCAACTCAGGAACGAACGAGTGCCATCGGGCAACGAGCTTCGCCTTACGTTTTCGGTGTTCATTGATTGGTTCAATCCATTTGGTAATAAGCTTGCTGGACGACATGCTTTGATGGGTGTCATAGCCCTTACTTGTCTGGATCTTCCCCCACACAGTCGAAATAAACACAATAACATATTCATCGCCGGTATGATTCCTGCCCCCAAAGAACCCGACATGACCACCATTTCCCATATTCTGGCCCCCCTTGTTGATGAGTTGCTTCTACTCAACACTGGCACCTTTGTGGAAACTCCTCAATTTCCCAATGGTCGAAGACTATCAGTCCACCTCGGCGCCTTATTTGGCGATATAGTTGCTACACACAAGATTGCCGGGTTCGCTTCTCATGCGGCTACTCTCTTTTGTTCATGGTGCAAATGTCGAAAAGAAAACATGTCACAAATGCAGGTTGGTCGAAAACGAAATCGCCGAGAAACACGATTACAAGCGATTAGGTGGAGGGATAGCGACACGCTTGCTGAACAAAAAAAGTGGCTAAAATTGAATGGCACTCGTTGGTCGGAACTCAACCGCTTACCTTACTGGGATCCTGTACGAAATGTGGCATTAGGTATCATGCACAACTGGTACGAAGGTGTCTTACAACATCATTGGCGTGTGCGCTGGGCATTTGACCCAGACCCACCCAAGCATGTTACTCACGACGACCATCTCGATGATTGGGAGGATGATGAATCAAGCAGCTCCAAAAAAAGCCTTCAGTTCCATGACAACGCACTCGCCCATATTCGAAAATCTCTGATCGATATTGTCATCCCTCGCGGTGTAACTCAAGTCCCTCCAAACTTGGGAGATCCGAAGCATGGAAAACTCAAAGCAAGCGAATGGCATTCACTTTTTTCAACCTACCTACCACTCAGCCTCATTACTTTCTTTTTCGACCATCCAGCAAAGTGCGCGACCGGCGACAATCAAAATAGCCTGCTCAATTTTTCATCAATTGTGATGTGCACTAACATCGTGGCCTTGAAATCAATTACCGATGCCGATGCGGACAAATTTGCGGAGGCTTATTTTCTCTATACTGAAACATCAAAGCTAGTTTTTGATTCACCCAAGATTGTCCCAAACCACCATTATGCGCTCCACCTGCCTGCGCAAATGAAGTGGTGGGGACCTCTCTCGAATGTGTCTGAATTCTCTGGGGAAAGGGTCAACGGTATACTTCAAAAAATGAAGACTAATGGTATCATTGGTGGGTCAACACAACCTGAAAACAGATCACGTTGAACAAAAACTGACTCGTCCATTTATGATCAGGTCAAATCGAAGGAACTGTCTTGCGTGAATTCTGTCAAACGCAAAGGCTCAATGCCCAAGCTGCAAGATGGTCGCTGAAAATTGATGACAATGATTCGAACTCCGAACCCGCCAAAGACCACAAGTCCAGATCCAACCACGCGAGATTGGTCCAAGTTCATCCTGAGGTGTATGCGGCCATGCTTCAAAAGCTCCAAGAGAACAATCCCGAATTGCGACACTATCAACACATTCCTCACCCCGATGGATCTCGTGTCCTCACTCCATATGTAAATGAACTTGACGCACTCGAAACTCAAAGCGGCCTGTATGTCAGCAAAACAAAACAGAACCGGTTGGTAGCTTTTCGGAAGAATGGTTCAACTCAACATGGGTGGATCACGCATATCTACAGCTTACCCGAATTCGATGGGAGGATTGTGGTGGCAGTCAAGGCACTTCGAGATGCATGCACGGGGGATGTGGTGGATGTTAGTGAGAACTTCCTACACACCCTGAATGATTTACAGCTCAAAATTGTACTAGAAGGGTCTGGCTATAATCTCGTGGACCCGGGTGAATTGGTGGCAGTCTGTGCTTATAGACACCTGCCAGCTTGGACATTTAGGTGTCATCTCCCTCTAGTTGCTTTGAGACAAATGCCACATGATTTGTCCCCCCTGTTGTTTCCCTTGTCTACATAATAGATACTCCGTGTCAATCTGCGTGCCCTTCCATGACTGTTTTTAGTTGTACAACAGGATATATAAAAATTGATACTTGCAAGTAGGTAAATTTGAAATCCACAATGCTTTGTTTATTTAACTTTCCCACAAATTATGATGGTGATCTTAAGACCATCTTTTTTTTTGAGGGCCATTTTGTTTATTTAAATGTCCCACGAATTATGATGGTGAACGTAAGACCGTCTTTTTTTTGAGGGCCATTTGAACTGCACAAAGAACTACACCCCAAGTGGAGTTTGATTAATGCCCAGCGAGGAAAAACAATATTCGGGGCCGCGGCGTTGACTAACTTGGGCTGCTCTGTTTTTTTTTTATTTGGTCACATGCGCGATTGCAAGGGCTTAGGAGGTTAACTATTGAATTCCTTTTCAAAAAAAGAAACAAGATTGTTCCAAAAAACAAAAGGAATGTACATATCCTCCATCCAGGCAACATTACAGAGTTACATGAGCAAGAAAAAGAAGAAAAACAAAAGGAAAACAGATACCCGTACAAATTTTTTGGCGCTTTTATTTTTCAATTTTTTTTTATTTTTTGGGTGTTTTCAATTTTTTTTGGGCTTTCTTGAGGAAACCAAAACAAAACAAATAAAGAGAAAAGCTATTACCTGAGAGGATCAATGGTTAGAGCTCCTCATCCTCGTCAAGCACCATTGCATTGTAACGGGCTTCACGTGCGAGTTCTTCCTCGTCGCCGTTGCTGACCGCGTCTTCCTCCTCTTCTTCGAGGTGACCAGAAGTACCCATCGAGTCATCAACAAAGTCACGGTCTCCTTCTGTCTCGTCCTCCTCTTCTTCTTCCTCGTTTGCAGAGTGGGTCAAATCGATTTCATCCGGGTCAAAAGAGGGATCGTTCTCTTCATCGGACGTTTCTTCCTCATCTGCATTTTCTTCAATCTCATGGGTGAGGTCGTAAGGTTTCGTGAGTCGGTCGAAGAACTCCTGAGTGAACTTTCGGTCAGATAGCTTTTCTGAAGCCAGCTTCTTCCCCATGAGCGATTGGGAGGCGTCAGGCAAAAATGCGACTTCACGGGTGTTAGCAATTTCCATACGTTGTTGAGGTAACAAGTCATTGAACCACTCGGCGTGGTAGAAATCTAACGGTTGGCCTTTTGGAGGCTTGGTGAAAAGGGATGGGTGCGGAGTGGATGGAGCAACTCGTCTGCGACGCTGCACACGTTTACCGTCCAGTTCATCAGATGTCAGGATGGCGGCATCGAGTCGGCGGAAGAACTTGGTGGCGTTGGGTGACCGAAACTTCAATGTTTTAATGATATAAACTCTTGTTTTCGGACAGTATTCGTCATCGCTATGGCAGTTGACATCGGATATGACCTTCTGATATCGCTTAGGGAGATTCTGGGCGAGCGCGAATTTCAATCGACTGTCTCGAAGCTACGCAGACCAAGACATCAGCAACCAAAGCTGACTAGGAAAAAATTACCACGGGTGTTACTCACTCGCTCTCTTGCCTTTGCAATCACTTTACGCTCTTCGTCCATCCGGAACTTGCCGCTCTGGTTCTTCTCTCGATTGTACCGGTTTTTTTGCAAGAAGTGGACATAGTGATTGTACGCAGGAATCAGAAGCCCGAGATCCGTGGCGTACTTTGGATTGATATTCATGTAGGCGTAGACACCACCAACAGCGGCCTGGCGGAAGGATTTGAGGGCAGCTTGGCGGCAAGCTTCGTTGTAAAGTGAGTCCGGCAAATCTTCGAGGTCTGGCGCCCACCTGCGTATCCCAAGATGAGCTAGAATGGCCTTCGTATAGCTGACAAAAAATTCCTCCAGGTTTACCAACCCTTTGCCGACCTTCTTTCTCCCAAGCTGGAGATCCTTGAAGGTAACAACATCCTTCACAGGGATGAGGGATTCACCAGCCGGATCGTTTGCCGTTTTTTCAATCTCATCGGCATTCGAAAATCGGGCTGTAAACTCTTTGATGGTTTCGGGGTGAGGGGGGCCTGGGATTGTCTTTTGCTCCAGAAGATTCCATATGAGCTTTATGTGAACATACAAAGCATCCTGGAGAAAGAATGGATAAGTATTCCGGATTCATGACGAGAGATAGGCAAGAGTGACCACTTACTCTGGTGAGGCCAAATGACTCAGGCATGTTCCGCGAAATCATTTGCATCGGGTTGACTTTTGGGGAACCGTTGCCGGGAGTGATGTCGTGTTTGGGTTGGCTACCAGATGAGGTCCGGCGAGGGGTGAGCTGGTTCGACTTGGTTGGTGTGGCGGACTTCGAGCCGGTTTTGCCGCTTGTACTTGCTCGGGGCTTGATGGTTGGGGAACTCTTCGGTTGAGTGTTCCTCACGACCGACTTCCCCTTATCCGGCTTCGGAGATGAGGCGGATGAAGCTTCTGTTTCTTTAAGCTCTACCTTCTCCATAAGCTTGGAGATAACTTCATCCCGAGCCGCAAGTTGAGCTTCTAACTGTTGAGATTGCTGCTGGAGGGCGGCAGATATTATGCTTTGTATATCAGTGGCAGAGGCCATTGTTACGGTTCAAAGGTTGTAAGTATCTGCTGTGGACCAGAATGCAACTAAAGTTTTCGATGTAAGCTGACAAACAACCAGCAGTATGGGATGGGCATCCTATTTATATGCAAGAACCGAACCACATGTATTATGTAGAAGTAGCCTAGAAATGATACAATACTTCTTGTTGGTATGTATGATCATGACAATCAACAGAACAGACCCGGTGATCATGTGCTGGCATATTTAGGTATCAAAACCCAGACTGGAGGATTGTTTGACAAGGGATGCACGGATGCGGATGCAAAAGGCCTTGCGCAGGCTACTTGTATTTCAATTTTTTTAATATTTAATATTTACATGTACATATGCTTGACAATTTGGATGAGTCAGCTGACCAGTTGGTGAGATAAACTGACAACAGCTTGGCGAGATGAGCTGACAACTTGACAAGTTGATGCAGCTGACGAAATAGGCGGGTGGATTGTCGGAGGTGACGAAATTCATGACAGGTGACGACCCGGCCGGCGCGCGGGCTTGTACATGAATATGCAAAACGTCAGCGTGACGAAATTTGAATTTCGTCACGCGCTTGCGGGCTGTGTCGGCCATAGTGTCTTGGTTGAAGGATAGAAGCGAAATAGAGTATAAAAAGAGGTTGCCGTTTGCGGGTAAGATAGGGCCTTGGACGGATGAGAGTTGATGGATTGCTAGCTTATCAAACAAAGCTTCGCGAGCAGAGGCTCTCCCAAGGGAGCGTCCTCCATAGGAAGAGGGCGCTTCGCGGTTACAAGCCCAAGCGGTATCAAGGGGGGGGGGGGGACTTGTGTTAGAGTTGGGATGCAGTGGGTGTTGAGGAGTGCGTATTCTTAATCACGAATCAACGATCATCAGAGTCGTCACTTCCACTAGAGCGTCTTTCTGCTGTCGACTCCAACATGCCTTGTCTTTCCTTTTCCTTGGCGTTGGGCCCATTTTCTTTTTTTTTTTTCTCGGATATCAGGAAGAACAACAATAAGCTTGGATAGTGATTTGCTTTTATCCAACAAACTTCTGCGTGACAGTGTGAGTGTCGATGCTCAGATTTCATGGCTGGAATTGTAGCTTGAAACGGGTACAACCGTTCCAAAGCTTCGAAAGTCCGTCTCTGCCATCCACATTTCCATCCGATTATTTCTTCCATACAAGAACAACTCGTGGACATGTCCGACTCTCATGAAGGAAATCTGCACTGCCTTTGACGAGATACACCAAGCCAAGGCTTTTTCTTCTTAAGATTGTCCCCGGATCCGGTTCGATCGGGACGGTCTTGGATGTATGTACAACTAGGATTGTAGGGTCGAGGGATCTAGAAATTGAAGTTTGATCGATTTCGCAGAGACTTTTGCGAAGAAGAAGTGGTTTATGTATGTACTACGTGTGAGTCGGAGTGAGGGATGGGGAATAGGATCGTCAGCTGAGTCTCTTTTCTTTTATCAGTGATGATGATGATGATGGATTTTCTTCGGATGTTGTTCCAGTTGATCTACTCCGGGGAGCGGTTTCTTTTAAGCTTATCACCATTTAAAGAATTTAGATTGCAGATACATATTTACAATTACCACAGGCTTTCAGCTGAGTTTTTGTTCCGATCTTCTTTGGTCATCTTTGCATTGTTGGGCCGTATGTAGCTGCTTATAATCCGGATCATCCCAGCTGAAGTACAACCCGAAGCCAAGTCAGATGTATAGTGTGATTGATGATTGATGTTTTAGTGAGAGAAGTGGTTGTTTCGTTGGCGGTCAAGAAGTTGCAAGTCGGATGAGCTGTATTCGTTCGTTCCGTCGACTCTCTCTCGCTCTGATCGAAGCCGTCATCGTCATCAGCTGCATCATAGCCTTTCATTTCATTCGGTTGGTGGTGCTGGTTCACTGAAAAACTCGAAATTCTTTTGTTTGTTGATTTTGATTTTTTTTAGGTTTGGCTTACATAAACCCAGCCGTTGTTGGTCCATCCAGTCCACTTCCCGCCCCCCTATGTAGTCCTAGTCCTTGTCCGCTCGACTACCACCACCACTCCAACTTCCGAAGCTGATCTCTTCCTCTTCTGCTTTGTTCTTCAATCCACTCAAAACCCTTAAGCATCCTCAACCAGTCACATAGCTCCAAGTTCGAATTTGATCATCCCATCGGTTTATTCTTATCCTTATTGTTGCTGTTCAACCACCAACCAAGCCTTCAACCCCATAGAAGGCTACTAAACTAAACTAAAGTAAAGTAAACTGGCTTCCAGATTCACACTTCTTCTCTTTCACTCTCACAAACAGATACTTACTTACATACGCGCTTCATGATCTAACTGTCCTCTCATCCCACTCAATCTCAACTCAGCTCAAACTCAAACTCAATCCACTCCTCAACCTTCAACACAATCACCTTCCAACCCAACAACTCAAGCTGTCCTCCTCATCAAACATCACCAGATCACTCCCATCATCATGGAAATAACAGTCTCCTTGGACTCTTACGTAAAGGGTCAGTCCATCAAAAACAAAACAAAAAAGTGATCAGGTTAGACGAATACTGAACGCAAATTCCTTTTCATTTTTTTGAAAAAAAAACTTAGGTACCAGAGCTTGGTTTCCAGATAAAGTATGAAGCATTCGATCAACTCATCTCCCTTCAAACTAGAAAATCGCATAATTTTTTAACAAGAGATCGATGCTGAAAACTCGATCACATTTTCTCTTCCCCGCTCGCTGATGATAGGATGAAGGTTGGCTTAGTGCCGAATTACAAGAAAAAGATATCGCGGCCAACGGATCTATCAAACTGCTGTTCATAGACGATAACGGTAAAGTAAATCATCCCCTTTTGTTCATTTCCTATCAACTCTCCTTCTTTTAACAAAACATTTATCTTTTCTTCTCAGGAAAGACAAGTCACAACAACAACCGACCAGGTCACAAAAACAAGAGGCGCAGATCTACCACCGCTGAGGAACCCTCCACTTCTCGAAGCAACAGAAGACTTGACAAACTTGTCTTACCTGAATGAACCAGCAGGTCAGCCTTTTCTTCCTCTTCAAATACCTGTTAATTTTCTTTAGAGTTTATCTCAATCAAACACTTTTTTTTCTCGATCAGTTCTACATACTATCCGGACACGTTACACGACGGCCCGTCAGATTTATACCTACTCTGGAATCGTACTCGTTGCTGTCAATCCTTTCATTGCCGTCCCACTCTACTCATCCGATATTGTCCAAGCCTATGCTGGAAGGAAGAAAGGCGAACTCGAGCCTCATCTTTTCGCCATTGCCGAAGATGCTTATCGATGCATGATTCGAGATCGACGCGACCAAACCGTCATCGTCTCTGGCGAGTCCGGGGCGGGCAAAACGGTTTCTGCAAAATATATCATGCGCTATTTCGCCACAGTCGATGATCCCGATCGGCCTGGAAAGAGAAAGGTAACCCTTTTTTTTTTTTTTTTTTTTTCAAGCGGGTTCAATCTTACAAGGAGCTGATTTGATGTTTTCTTTTTACAGCAACAGGGAGCAGATGGATCAGGTATGACAGAGGTTGAAGAACAAATCCTGGCCACAAATCCGATCATGGAAGCTTTTGGGAACGCAAAAACTACCCGGAATGACAACTCGTCCCGATTCGGAAAGTACATCGAAATCCTTTTTGACAATGAACAAAACATCGTAGGAGCCAAGATCCGAACGTATCTACTGGAGCGATCACGTCTAGTCTACCAACCTGAGACCGAAAGAAACTACCACATCTTTTATCAGTTGATTGCTGGTACACCGCAAGCAGAACGGAAACAGCTTGGTCTAGACTCGATCAGCAAGTTCCACTATCTTAACCAGGGTGGGCCGAGTGCGGAGAGGATCGCAAGTGTTGACGATAAGAAAGAATTCGGTTTGACTCAAGAAGCGCTCAGTACAGTCGGGATTGGGATGACGCAACAGTGGGCGATCTTCAAGCTATTGGCCGCCCTGCTTCATCTTGGAAACATCGAGATCAATGCTACTAGGACAGATGCCTCGCTGAGCGATGATGATCCCAGCCTGATTCTAGCTTGTAGCTTGCTTGAGATCGAACTGGGTGAATTCAAAAAATGGACGATCAAGAAGCAGATCGTCACTCGCTCCGAAAAGATTGTCACCTCCTTGAGCGCCGCCGCTGCCATCAGTGTCCGAGATGCTGTGGCAAAATACATCTACAGTAGTCTCTTTGAATGGCTTGTTTACGTCGTTAATGGAAGTCTGTACAACACCGATCTCGATGATAAGGTGGCCAGCTTTATCGGTGTCCTAGATATTTACGGATTTGAATTCTTCAAAACAAAGCAAGCGTTTTTCCATTTTTTCTGCTACATTCTTTCTTGACGAGTGGCCCTAGTTGAAGAGATGACTAACGTGATAATTGAACTTCCACAGTTCCTTCGAGCAATTCTGTATCAATTACACCAATGAAAAATTACAAGCCGAATTTAACGCACATGTGTTCAAGCTAGAACAGGAGGAATATATTAATGAAAAGATTGACTGGAAGTTTATCGAGTTCTCAGATAACCAACCTACCATCGACTTGATCGAAGGCAAACTAGGTATTCTATCTTTACTAGACGAGGAATCCAGGCTACCATCTGGATCAGATTCGACCTTTGTACAAAAACTTTACACCCAACTTTCCAAACCAGAACATGCCAAAGTGTTCAAAAAACCAAAGTTCGGCACATCCGCCTTCACGATCGCCCATTACGCGCTTGATGTGACTTATGAGGGAGAAGGCTTCTTGGAAAAGAATAAGGATTCAGTCCCAGATGAACATTTAACTCTCCTATTTGCCACTCACAATTCATTCTTGAAGGATATCCTCGAAAAGGCTCAGGAGATCCGCAACACTCCCAATGGACAAGCTACGATCGTCAATAGGTCGACCATGGCTGTTGCCGACACCGCTACCTCGCCCATGTCGCCCACCACCAACTCAAGCAAACGCACGAGTCTTTTCGATGGACCAGCTTCATCGATCGTCACCAAGCGCACTAGTGTTTCAACTGCCATTAGCGGTGGGGCTTCCCCTCGCGCTTCAGGTCCTGTGAAGCGTGCGATAGGTGGTCCGGCTGGCGCTGGTGGAGCAACCAAGAAGCCAACCTTGGGTTCGATCTTCAAACAATCGCTTATCGCACTCATGGAAACGATTGATTCCACAAACGCGCATTATATTCGTTGTATCAAGCCCAACGAAGCCAAGATGGCTTGGGAATTCGATCCCCCGATGGTCTTGGGTCAGCTTCGTGCCTGTGGTGTATTGGAAACTATCAAAATCAGTGCGGCTGGATATCCGACTCGTTGGACATTTGTGGACTTTGCTGAACGGTCAGTTACTAATTCTGTGCGATTGCCAAGATTTAGAGACAATTGATTCATGGTGTTTCAAAAACTTTGTCGATGATCAGGTATTATATGCTGATCAAATCAGATCAGTGGAAAAATGATGTCAAAGATGTCTGTCTGAGCATCTTGAAGAACACGATCAAAGAGGAGAATAAGTATCAATTAGGGTTGACCAAGTTATTCTTCCGAGCGGGAATGTTGGCATACTTGGAACAAGTCCGAGGCGATCGGATCAACTTCTTAGTCACCCTGATGCAAAAGAACTTCTTGAGAGCATTTCATCAGACCCGATATCGTCGAATTAGGGCGACGATCATGGGCATTCAGTGTCTTGTCCGAAGGAAGATCGCTGTCCAAAAGAAGGAACGCGCGCGTGAAGAAAGGGCCGCGTTGATGATCCAGAAAGTCGTTCGAGCCTTTTTGGGCAGGCAGACGTTTTTGAAAACTCGGACCTTTATCGTCCAGATACAGAGCCGTCAGTTCTGCATGTCAAATGCTTACTTCCCTTATTCATTCTTCATTCATCCTGTTCAGTGAGGACTGTTTGGAGAGTTGATTTTTTTACCCGTTTGCTTTTGATCTCAGGCGTACGTGGTGGCAAGATTCGCTCAACTTTCGGCCATCAAAAGACCTTTGTTTCGGCCTCCAGACTCCAGGCGTTATTCCGAACGATCCTATGTAAACGAAAGTACAAGGTGGAGATCAGAAAAGTGGTCTTAATCCAATCACTTCAACGGAAACGACTAGCAAGACGGGAACTTTTAGCATTGAAACAAGAGGCTAAATCGGTAGTTCACTTCAAGGAAGTCTCTTACAAGCTGGAGAATAAGGTCGTCGAGCTCACTCAAACCTTGCAGAAACGTACTCAAGAGAACAAGTCCTTGCAATCCAAATTGAACGAACTGCAAACTCAGTTGGAGAGTTGGATGTCCAAATATGATGAAATCGATCGGCAGACTAAAGACTTGAAGAGTCAAGTCGATAAGCCAACTGTCGATCTGCCCGAATTCGAAGCCTTGGGCGAGGAAAAGAAGAAGGCTGAATCCCAGTTGGCCGAATCTTTGAGAAAGGTTAATATTTTGATTCCTCTGCTTAGATGCTGTTCCTGTGCGCGGTTTCGAAATACTGATTGTTGATAATGATTTTCGTTTTATCAGATTGCTGAGCAAGACAAGCATATCACCAAGCTCACATTAGAATTCGAGAAGCAATCCAAAGAGATGGAAGAAAGGCAGAAGCTATTGGATAGTATGACTGTCAACGGCAACGGCAGCGATGCAGCAACAGTGTCTGGTATGAGACAGGAATTACTGAGTTTGAGGGAACAGCTCAGCCGGGCATTGAACACTCAGAAGGCGATTCCTCGAAGTGATACAGCATTCCATATGTCGACTGGACAGGGGCACCAAGCCAACAATCATTCGGGTGGTCCGGCTCCTCTCAACATGAGCATCACCGGATCACCGTCTTCTTTGAATCAAGCGAAGAGGAAACTGCGACGACACAGTGCGGATGATTTAGGACCAGAGGTGTTGCCGGTGGTGCCCACCACTTCGGGACTAGCGATCCCAGCGAACCGATTCGATAATCCTCGGGCGGTCTCGGTGGCTTATGCTCAAACGCTCAACATCCATCCGGAAGATCAATTGGAGGACCCATCGGAGATCGTCATGCGGCTGTTGGAAGACGAAGAGCCCTTGGATGAGGACGTCTTGGTCGGCCTGATCAAGACTCTCAAGATCCCAATCCCTTCGATACAGAACCCCCCCAGCGCTAAAGAAGTCTTATTTCCTGCTCATCTGATTAGCTTGGTCACTAATGAAATGTGGAAGTATGGCCTGATGAGAGAGAGTGAACGATTCTTGGCTAACGTGATGCAAACCATCCAGCAACATGTGATGGTATGCAACTTTTTTCACAAAGCTCGAAGTTTCATTGAAAAGCGGGGATTCTAATGCGGCGGTTTTTTCTTATGCAGGGTTTCCAAGGAGAAGAAGCGATCGTGCCTGGTATCTTCTGGTTGTCGAATGTCCATGAAGTGTTATCATTTGTGTGTATAGCAGAGAGTGATATCCTACAAGGGATTGGCCCGGGAGTGGATGGAGCGGGGCGAGACTTTGATTGGGATGACTACGAACGACTGGTGACGATTGTGAAGCACGATCTGGACTCGTTAGAGTACAACATCTACCACACATGGATGCAAGAGACGAAGAAGAAGCTGCACAAGATGGTGGTGCCCGCCTTGATCGAATCGCAATCCTTACCGGGCTTTGTGACGAACGATAGTGGGGGTAGATTGTTCAATCGATTGTTGTCGGGCAACAATCAGCCGGCTTATAATATGGAAGATATCCTCAATCTCTTGAATAAGGTCTGGAAATCTCTCAAGTCGTATTATGTCGAACAGTCCGTCATCCAACAGGTCGTCACCGAATTGCTCAAGTTGATCGGCGTCACTTCGTTCAATGATCTCCTCATGAGGAGGAACTTTTGTTCTTGGAAACGCGCTATGCAAATCCAATATAATATCACTAGATTAGAGGAATGGTGCAAATCGTACGTCCTTTTCTCGTTTTTTTTTTTTTTTCCTTGGGGGGGCGGGGATACTTGTTTATTTACTGATTCATTTTTTCGGGGGGTTTGGTTTGGTGATGCAGACGTGAAATGCCCGAAGGGACTTTACAGTTAGAACATCTCATGCAAGCTACCAAGTTATTGCAATTAAAGAAAGCCACGATCTCGGATATCGATACTTGCTATGATGTCTGCTGTACGTTTTTTTTTTTTTTCTGTTTCTTATAAGCGTCTTGCTTGATGATGATCATGACATGCAAGAGACTAATGAAGTTTACTTTTGTATGAAATATAAAAACATTTTGTAGGGATGTTGACTCCTTCGCAGATCCAGAAGTTGATCTTACAGTATCATGTGGCAGATTATGAGGTCAGTCAGAATAAAAACTCCGACAGATACTTGATTATTAGTCTTGCAACGAAATTGACGAGAGATTTTTTTTTTTAATTTATCAAATGAAAACGAAAAAAAAAAAAAAAAAAAAATCACAGAACCCGATTGCACCTGAGATCTTGAAAGCGGTGGCATCAAGAGTGATGCCGAATGACAAGAACGACCATCTGATGTTGCCACCTGAAGTCGAAGAAGCCGGGCCTTATGAGGTCCCTTTGCCCCGAGAAGTCATGTCTCTTGATACGTATTGTCCTGCTTGTAAGTCCCTTCCCTCCCCCTCCCTCCCTTCAAAAACTACTGCTCGTCTGTAAGAAAAACAGAATGCTCATTCTCGATCGCTTTTGTCGGTTGTTTGTTTAGGGTTGAATGTTCCTCATATCAGACGATTAACTTCAGTGGTGACTTGAAGAATTCATTCATTCATTCAGTCTTCTTCGTTGGATGGTGATGATGACCTTGATCATGATTTTATCCTCTTCTTCATCTTTAGTTCCCGTTTTCTTAAATTATTAATCTCGTTTTCTTCACCAATATGACTGATTCTTACCAGATTGATTTCTTATGGTCATGGATTTCTTTGATACATACATCTTTATAGGGATGAAAACAAGAAAATGCATGTGTGTGTGTGTGGGTTGTGTTTGGTTGGTTGGTTGGAGATGATGTTTAAAAACGTGCAGTTGGATCGACTCCTCAGATTTTTTTTCTTTCTTTCAAATTTAGAGTCTCAAGCCTCTCTCATCCTATGAAGATCTTTCTTTCCTCCCTTATCTCTCTCTCTCCCTCTCTCTTTGATTTATGTGTGCAGGCTTTTTTTTTCTTCTTTTTGGTTACATAGGCCAGTTTTTTTTTTAGCTTTGGTCCATTTTCCATCCATCATTCTTGTTTGTTTAATTTATCTTTCTCTTTCTTATTATTACTATACGCAACTACATATGTTCTATGATTTCTTTTTTGTCAACTCCTACATACTTGACTACTACCGAAACTGAAACTGAAACTGAAACAAAAAAATCTGAATCGTATCTCTGTCCAAGAAAACATGTGGGATAAGAATAAGGTATGTAGGACTCTGGCCACCAAAGATCATGAGAAACGCATGAGTGTATCATCAAGCCGGCTGTCCTCCCCTTTTGAGACCAGGAAAGAGAGACACTCCTCCGATTCCTGTGGACTGTAGTCCCTGTTGACAGTACACAATAGCAGGGCTCAGGCAACTGACATTCATTGCTGTGAATTAAGGGCTCATTATCATATCGATCGTTTGATTTTCCAGGTTCCTTGATCATTGTCTTTGTTTGAAAAAGAGCTTTTAAGAACTATGTGCGACGTGTTTTGGGATGAGAGCTCCGGTGCCGTAAGCTATTCTCCACAATATGAACTTCTTGCTTGCTACTCATGTAATAAGCGATGGAGTGGCCTGAAAGACTATGGTACTGCAGGATCATCCCCAGGTAATTGTAGCCCCGCCGTCGGTAAACTCCGCATCTCGCCACCATCGGCTGCACACCGGCTCTGTGGGGAGACATATGTACTTTTGAGGATATCTATCGTTTCGGTTTTCGCTCTTTGGGGGCTTGTCCCATAGCGCCATGTCCGCAGTGGACAGTGACGAGCTGTCCTGAGACTATGTATGTAGAGTCGCACATGAGTTGCGGGGGAGTTGGTAACAAAAACTTCGAAACATCGTTTGGGACCATGACATAGCGGGTTTGAGAAGAATAAAACAACTTGCGAATCACCTTGTAAATACATTTCAGCTTCAGGGGAGTCTGTGCTGAAGGTCTGGAATGCAGAAATTATGTGCGGCTTCATAACCCACAAGGACCTCCTGCGGTCTAATACTTGATCTGCTTCAAGGTTGTCTTGTTGTGGGAAAGGCTGCGAAAGGCTGTTATTAAAGGAATCTGGATTTGCTCCTGCGATTTGGATCTACATACCCTTTAAATAAGCTGGGACTTGTTTCTCTCTCTGCCAGGGTTGCTTCCCACATCATTCATTTTTGTCATGAAAACAATTGGGCAAACCCCGCTGATTCTCCTTATCCTTCGAGTTCAGTCCGGACCCACATGTGTTGTCGGATCTGAACTAGGACGGGTAAACTTGGGGAGGGATGAGCTCAGGTCAGAGTCGGTTCAATTTGTAACAGCCACATCTTCCATTCGTTGACCAATTGGTGATTTGGTGCATCTTAAATAGACCAGAACAGCCGTGTCTTCAAGTTGTAGCTTGTCCAAATATTGATGGCGCTCATCACCCCCCAATTAGCCACCACCATCGAATGACGGCTGTAGACTGCTTGCCGAATCTTGGTCAGACTCAATTACAAGCTCATGAAGACTTGCAGCCATTTGGCAGGTATGACCAGCTCCACGACTCACGAGAACAGTCGTCGGGTTTCATTTCAGCTTCGTCATCGCACGTCAAACCGATGGAAATTGATTTCTTTAGTCAGTAGGCCTTTTTGTACATATCCTATCTCGTAAAAACGTTCATCGCGGCATCATGTGGAAATTGTCTTGCTCTTCAAGCTACTACATACTGAGATTTGAACTCCTTAATGCTCAGGAAATGAACGGAAAATTCCGTCTTCTCATCTAAACGAACCTGAGCATAGTTTGATTTCTAACCGGGGCATGAACTGTGAGCCAACCCAAACAGCTCCATGCTTTCAAACAACCTCTATCATTCTTCATCAGATCTATCCAAAAGCTGCTCAAAAACGGCTACATGATCAGTTATTTTCTGATTTTAATGACCAAGACTTGGTCCTACTTGGGTGATGCCTCTCACAAGAGAAACTGACCAAATTCAACAGCCTTGACAGAGAATGAGCTTCAGTTATCTCTTGGCTTTCCTTCCCATGATTTCAAGGTCAACAAAAAGAGAAAGGGAGTGGCTCACACTGCTCCAGGTTTGATCACTCTAGGTAGATGGTCAATGCTGTTGGTAGAATCTCCATTTCTTGAAACTAAAGTAATTCTTTTCTGGGTTTTTCCTCGGATACATACAGAACCCAAAAAAGAAAAAGAAGAACTTGTTGGTACTTTCGTCTTCACAGGTGGAAAGCCACCTGAAGATGATAGAAATGGGAAGGGGCCAGGTTGGTCAACATTTTGTTTTTGAATTTTCCAAACAAAATCATGCTGGTAGTTCCAATATATTTTATTGTCTTTTTGGTTTCTCAATCTTCCTTCCCTCTTTACCTAAGGCACTACATTAAAACAGCCCAAAATTGAAATGGATCAACATTCAAACCTAGCTGGATCCTCCAAACTATCACCACATAAATTGGATTTGGAAAAAGGAAAACTTCCAAGCTTTGTTAGAGATTCTGGAGCCTCAACAGGTTGGTCAAAATTTTTACTTATTCATCCAAAGTAAATGATGATGCTTCTGTGTTTTAATCACCTTTTCAATCTGCCTTGTTCTATCCCAAGGTACTGCATTCAAACACCCCAACATTAAAACGGAACAACATTCAAACCTAGCTGGATCCTCCAAACAGTCACCAAGTAAATTGGATTTGGAAAAAGGAAACCTTACAAGCTTTCTTGAAGAATCTGGAGCCTCAATAGGTTGGTCAACATTCCTTTTCTATTTATCCAAACTAAATGATTGTCCATGATTTCTTTAGTCACATTTTCAATCATCTTTATGTCAAACTAAGGCACTTATACATTTAAACACCCCAAAATTGAAATTGATTCACATTCAAACCAAGCTGGACCCTCAAAGCAATCACCAAACAAATTAAATTTGATCCCTAGTGGGGCTGTTGGATGTTTCCAAAAAGAAAAACACCCAAGTTATCCTCAAAATTCCAGAGCCTCAAAAACTACTAAAAAAACCATCAAGAAAAAGGTGGTGGAAAAGCCCAACAAAGAAGATGATGTTGATTATCTTTTGCACATATCACACACCCAGGTGATTTGGGCATGGATTTTTGGGGTATCAACATACCGTGCAGATCCTGTTGATCAAGACTTGAAGGTTTCCTACGGTTCCACTCTTTCAGATTTTAATACTAAAATGACAGAAGAAATTAATGAAATCATGAAACAAAATTTTCATCAAGCTAATCATATCAGTTCAAAAGATATTTACCAAAACATATTACAGCTTTCTAATATTCTCTGGTTTATCAACATAAGATTCCTCAAAAACCTTGCAGTCCTTCAAAACATTAATTTTGACTATTCAAAAGAGAATTGTTTGATTTATCAATGGATTCTTGACATATTTGAACACAAAAAGAACAATTCCAAAAAGAATTCCTCCAAAAAAGAAGGCCTAAATTGCTCAGATGAGAGGGTCATGAGTCATGTTGTGTCAACTCTAACTTCAGTTCTCATATCAGGAAAAAAAGATAATCTGGTTTATGTATTTGACAAAACAATTGAATCAAACAATCCAAAGTACCAATTGAAAATTTCAATAGGAGTCATTTCAGAAATACAGCTCCTGATGACTAAAGCAGCAGTCACCGTATTGGCTTCTTTTTACAAAACCATTTCCCCAACAAAGTGGAAAATATTGTTTGTAAATCAAGCAGCTTTCTTACACCACTTGGCTAAATTACAGAGTTCTTTTGCATTCTTGTCAAACTCCTCTCAGGGAATACCAGTAGGAGCAATCAATTCTATCCAATCCCTTCCTTGGGCAGCTGATTTCAATGAATATGACAAAATAGTGTTTGGAAAGCTCAATCAGAATTTATCTTGGGAACATCTACAAGGTTCATTTCAAAAATATTTCAAACAGATATCCAGTTCAGAAAATCAGCTGTATAATGAAAGACTCTTTGAGCTCTTGAATCAGCAAATTTCTTCTGAATATATGAATAAAAAAAGAGGAAATGATAAAGACATTTGGAAATGCATTTGTAGGATAAAGAGTATATATGAATCAAAAAAAGGAAAATCCAATCAGTTTTATTTATCTTACTCAAATTTGCCAATCAGCAGACAATCAAACATAAGTGTCAATGTGAAAGATTTCAAAATAACACACTCCCTCTGTGGTAGTCCTTCTGAAGATAAATTTTTACATGAGTTAAAATACTTCTCAGAGATTTTATGGGTGTTGAACTCTACACTGATAGAAGCACTAGGTCATACAGAAGAACAAGATAGTCAAACATTTCAAGAAGAGCAAAATAATATCCAGAAAGAACTTTCATCCATTATTAATATGTCAACAAATGGTTTGGGAAAGTCATTGGATCCAGAGACTAAAAACACAGCAGTCAAACTTCAGGACTTGATCTTGAGCTCATTGTATAATAACAGTGAACGAAGTTTTGAGCTCAAACAGGAAGCTCACACCAAGGCAGCAGTGATGTTGATGGTGTACTATTACCGTGAAGCAAACAAAGTAAAATGGGCAACCATATTCCAGAATGAATCAAATTTTATTCATTCACTTTTCACAATTGGGATGAGGATGAGGAAAACATATTCTTACAACTATCATCAAGAAGAAGTTATCCCAAAATTGAAAAGCGCACAGTTGATCCCTTGGAAGAATCCTTTCAGTCTCTCGCCAATTCAACAAAAGAGTATTACTTGGCTCTTCCAAAAAAGTAAAAACATCAACATTTAAATCAAACTGAGATGTATTGTTTCAAATTTCATGTGAGATTATCTTATTGAAATAGGATTCTTAAACAAATTTCTGGTCATTTTGGTTTGGCATATGATGTACAAGGATAGACAAATAATGAAGGATTGGCAGGGTTTATGATTGAACTTTTTCAATTTTGCAAGCCAATTTTAAGGGCTTCACCAACAACTTTTTGATAATTTCACGAGTTGGATGGATATGGGGGTTTCTGAACAATACACACAACTTTTAAGATCCTAAAAACTTAGGGTCTTGGCTAATCGACTCCCAAAAATAGGAGAGTCGACTCCCAAACCCCGAAACCCCCGAAAAATCCACCAATCTCCCCCGGAAATGTGAGTCGATCCCCCAAACCCGTCAGTGGGTTTGGGTGTTGAATCCCCATAAACTTTATTCAAAAAAAATACCAACCCCCAAAGGGGTTGGGAGTCGCTAACCCAAAACCCAAGTGGTTTTGGGGGTTGGCTAACCCAAAAGATCCCGCAGTGGCCGGGAGGATTCCTCCCAGCCGCTGATGGCACACCCTTGATGGCGCAGAGGCCCTCCCAGCCTTTGAGGATGTACACTCTCCACGGGCGGGAGAAAACCTCTCGGCTGTTGAAAGTGTACACTCTCAACAACCAAGAGAAATACTCTTGGCTGTTGAGAGTGTACACCCTCAATGGCAGGGAGAAAATCTCTTGGCCATTGAGAGTGTACACCCTCAACGGCTGGGAGAAAACCTCTTGGCTGCTGAGAGTGTACACTCTTGACGGCCAGTGTAGAGAGTGTTCCTCTCGGTCGTTGACAGTGTACACTCTCAACAGCCGAGAGGTTTTCTCTTGGCCGTTGAGGGTGTACCCGTTTCAATGGCGGAGAGGTTTTCTCCCAAAGGGTGTGCCATCAGCAGCCGGGAGGAATGCTCCCAGCCGCTGCGGGCTCTTTTGGGTTAGCCAACCCCCAAAACCACTTGGGTTTTGGGTTAGCAACTCCCAACCCCCGAAGGGGTTGGTATTTTTTTTTTGAATAAATTTTATGGGGATTTGACTCCCAAACCCACTGACGGGTTTGGGGGATCAACTCCCATTTCCAGGGGAGATTGGCGGATTTTTTGGGGGTTTCGGGGTTTGGGAGTCAACTCTCCAATTTATGGGAGTTGATTAGCCAAGACCCCAAAATTATTGATAAACACCTAATTGAAATGGGCTTCAAAATATGACAAATTTTAATCATGAACCCCAAATTGTGGTAGATAAACTTTTGCTGCATAGATGTGTGAAATTTTAAAAGTGGATGGGCAAAACTTCTTATAGCTATGTTGAGGAAACCTTACACTGGTGGAAACCAGACACAGACTGCATTTAGACACAAGATGATGAAACAGAGAGCAGTTGAGATAGACTGGGTACAACACTGGATGACTTCCCGTCACCTGTTGCAATCTAGAACCCTCCCAGAATCCAATTTACACCCCCTAGATCTTTAATTTTTGGCCCAAAAAAATATTTGTTTACAAGCCTTGTAGAAACCAGTCTCATGTGAGATGGTTGAAATTACAAGTGGGGTGTTAACTTAGGACTTGGGAGGGCTTAAAAAGCACTCTAAATGGCAACGGGAAGTCCTCCACTCATGACTGACTTGTTCAAAAGTCTCACACAACACACAGTAAATCTAAGTAGAAAAAAAATGTGACTACATGGCACCCAGACTACTGCAGGTAGCTGGCAGCCACAAGGCTCCGGAGATCCAATATCCACCAGCTAGTTGGCGGAACCGTTAAAAAGTGATCCGAACGAGGCTCGAACTCATGACCTCTCGCGAACGCATCTGTATGCCACCCCATGGAGGTTCCTGGGGAGACGTTTGTGAAGCGAGTGTGATAACCAACTACACCATCGGACCGTGGGAGTTCCGACGGAATTCAGGCACAGCTCGCCTCTTCCCGCAATCGCTGCGCCGCTCCAAAGCGGGCGCGGAGCTTACCTGTATCAATTTAATGTTTGTTCTGATTTTGACTTTGGCGACATAATTGTAGAAAGGCCTACATAAAATGGTCTTCGCATGGTTAGCGAAAACTCGGGCAACAAGAAGAATGATGTTGAGAGTTTATTCCAAGTTGAGTTTCCTCATCGAGAGCCGACTTTGTAATGGATCCGGGTAGCTCATCGTTCCCATCAGCTGTAGCCAGCATCGTGTATGATGAAGCATGAGAAGAACTTTAGAGAATCGCCAGGCCAACCCTGCTCAACCAGGGTCAACATCGCGAAATCTCGGCCTTAGGGTTCATTGTAAAGCTTGGCAAACATGACTTAGGCATAATCAGTTTCACATAATCATCATGCCAACCCTTTTGTTTAGGTTGCAAGACAAAAGGATGCTTATCAGGCTAAGTGCTGGATTCATGATTCATCTTGGCTTGCGAAGTTCGCACGTAAGAGTATACGCCTTAGATGGATTGAAAGGAACTCATTCATCATCATCCTATCCGGTAACCATCTCCCTCCCTTTGTGTTTTTCCGTTTGTATTCATGGATATCTCACATCTGCGCCAGATGTAGTCATTGTCAAAGATTCCAACCGATGACTGTGCAATCAATGGGTCCCCCCCCCCCCATGTTACTTGCTGGTTTACTAGAGTAGACTAGAGCCAACCATGCGACTTTCTGTTTTTAATTCAACCGCCTTCTTTCTCCGGGCTACCCTACTTTAGACACATCGAGTCAACAACACCCACCTTCAGGCGCTTTTATATTGTTAGATACACTTCCCACATATCTTTTGAAAACATTCCTTTTGGCCACCAACACTAGGGCTTACTCCTTTACTTCCGGTTTCTTCAAGCTTTGATCTACAACATGATGATGCTTCGAAATCCTGGTTTGATTTCGTTCATATGCCTGATCCATTCCATCCAGGCCATCACTAGAGCTCGTGTTCCCAGGTCTCTAGCCTTCGCAGGTGGCGCCAAGAGCGGAGGTCACCTGTTACTTTTACCACGAAAAATTAGTGATTCAAACTCACATCCGCAAGTGCTTCAAGAGATACACAACTTGGCAGGCTGTGGCGGTGAAATTTGTGGAACGTTGGCAGGTGATGCGGTCCAACCGCTCTTAGCAGGTGCGGATGAATGTGCCCAGCAGGATATGGCAGACAGTGAGTACAAACTTTCTGTTCTCACAAAAAGGAAATCATTCGTGACTAAAATAATCGGGTTGGTTGGTTGCCTGGAACTTGACGATTGATAATAGAAATGATAGACATAGCTAAATCGAAACTTCAAGACAAAGCCGTCCAAAAAAAATTGATCGAGCTGGCGAAAACGTACCGACAAACCGAAAGGAACACCTTCCCAGATTACTCTTCACCCTCAACGCCGGACAGAAATAGTCTGTATTGTCAGAAGAAACCCAAGAATCCCGAACTCGTCGGATTGTCGCAAAAGCAAAGCTCGGCCGCTGATCCTAAGTTGTTCTTTGACCCTAAGTCTAACGGTAAAAGTATTCAAAAAGGCTCAGATCGTAAGTCATTGCCGAGTCTCGATTACAGAATTAGTCATTCTTAGTGTCCTTCAAATTCCACTCGCGGCTAATTGGTTTCGTCTTTGCGTGTCTGTGTTTTTTTGGGTTTCCTTTTGTCAATCGATGGTAACAATCTTAGCGCGGACGGAGCCATTGGGTGCCGCCAAAGGGCAAACGACGCCCGTCAACAGTACCGCATCAACCAAGGAGGACACTGATGATCCGGATGTCGATGAAGATGATGTGCCGGAGGATGGAAGCGATGAAGCGGCGGGGAATGCGTCTGACAACTCGGCTAATGCGAGCAGTCCCGGACCCAACGCGTTCTCATCGAGCACGACTCGCAGTCCGACTGAAGTCCAACACGACCGAGAGCTCGGGATAGTCGAAAGTAGTCGGCCTCACAAGCTCGCTAACAGCACCCAGTCCTCACAAGCTCCCATCAGCGTCCAACCGCAAGCTCCTTCGACTGATCCCGTGAAGAACTCGGCCACAAAAGAAAAGTCCCAGCCTCCACAAGGCAAGCGAAAATCATCCGGCAAATGTCGTCCAAAACGCTTGAGGAGGGTCTAGAAAATCTCCTCTGCTTATTCCCCCAGAGTGTGTGGTAATAATTCCTTGAAATCTGTGAATAGCTTTCTATGTAAATACATTTATTTTGGGGATTTCCGTTGCTTTGGGTGTGTACATGATACACGACATGATAATCATTTATTTCTCGTTTTTGTTTTGGCTCAATAAAATTTTCCAATGACTGGTCTCATTAATTGAAATATTTCTTGTGTCAATGAGGGTCAAATCCCCTTTGAACTGTAGCCTCTCATGTCACGACAAGATGTCAAATGATTCCTTGCCGATGGTAAGCGCTTTTTTTTGTTGTTACTCGCAAACATGTGGGAATAATCATCAGTAATACTTTCAACACCCTACTTAGTGGAAGAATATGAGTTAAAGTTCAGGAATAAAAAAGAAAGGACTGAGCATCAGGCCAGAGCTGAGCCGGACGACACATTACTCATGAGCTGGCACATACACTTCAAAGAGCGCTAAACCCTTGACTGACGGTCAAGTGGAGGCATGATGGCTTCTGAATTTTTTAATTATTTTCGAAAAAAAGGGTCAAGTGAGTTGAATACAATTTGAAACCCTTTGGAGCCTTTTAAGTACCCCACTGATGGGCGAAATGACAAACAAGAAGGGGAACACATTGAGCAAGGGACGCAAAGGGACCCATGAACAAGGGAGAAGACACATCCCAAAAAGGGGACAGTATTTTTAAGTATATATTTGACCAGGTTGACTTGGACAACAGAGTTTTACAATCCCGAAGCAAGACAGGGACGCTTTGGACAGATGATGAAGAGGCATCGAGCGGCTCCAGTGGAGAGCATGGCATGGGCGCTGAGGAGGACGACATTGACGGTCCGGAGGATAAATCAGATTGCGGTATGAAGGATGTATCCTGATAAGAGTGTGATTAAGTTCTTCGCCTCATAAGCCGGGCGCGAGTCTACTAAGACCACGCTGAACTCTGCCCCTGATGGGCTAGTAGAAGGACGGCTAGGATGATCGAACAGCTACATTGAATAGAAATAGGCAAGTAAATTTGTGAGATGACTGTCATAGCCCAAAGAGACTCCTTTTGCTATTTCTGTGATGTAAGGCCATGCGAACCTGCAGTTCAGAATTTGGCTGAAAAGAGGAGAAATTTACTTCGACATTTCTGTTTTATTTTCTACTTGCAATGATTCTATAAGTCTGTCTAACGCCCTAATGAGCACATTCGTAGTTCATGTGATGTTGTATATATCCTTCAAGAAGCAGAAGTAGAGCGAGATAAAACCAAGGAGATCCGAAAGAAAGCACAGCTCGCGGTTGATAGGGATCCAATGCAAGTATACAAGTCTGTTGTTCCAGACCGGAGTTCTAGACATGACATCGGGGGAAAAAATGAGGGTTAGACTGCCTAAGCATGAGGAACTGGGACGTCGTGACATTTTCCAGTATTTGCGTTCGGTACTTTATCACCCTACATAAGATTAATAGAAAATCCATGTCAATCACTGAAATACCAAATTTATGGAGTGTGAGGAATACTACTGACAGGTCGAATGTGTGCTACATCCTCAGGACGACAACACTTGGGGGTCCCCAGAGAACAAATAAACGGAGCGGCCTTGTGGACCGGGCTGTTATCCTTGAAGGCGCGTTCGACTTTGATGTCACATTTCAATTGGGTGAAGAAAGGTATGTTAGTCTAGTTGACTACCGATACGCTGCTCCGTTGATATGGATAAGAAGGACACCACTCACATTTTCTTGGTTCCTCTACATTTCGGAATATGGCATGATCAGGTTTGTCAGTTTTTTTTTTTTTTCCTTCATAGGAAGCAGTTGCAACCCACGGGTACTGCGCCGTTGATTGATAAGGATGAGAAGAACGACACGCACTTGGATCATTTCCGATAGGAACTAAGTCTATTTGGCAAACACCTTCACTCAATCCAGGTTCATTGCAAGGGAAGGCTGTCGCACTGGCATAGTTGCAAACCACCGCCAAAAAAACAGCAGCGGATAAGACGTGCATGTCGGTGATGAAGAGGATTGGTTTGTGGGGTTGGGCTGGTTGGGAAAGGCGAGTGTGTTGACTTGGAGGGAAAACAGAACAGTGGGGTGAATGGGCCTGCTGCAGTGGGCAATAACCCTTCTGATTTATACCATCTGACATCCCTCCTACAGACATACATTCATACCCTTGATAATACTCCATACATCCACTGTTTGAGTGATCTGGGCGTGGCCAGGTGAAATGACGCCTCAAGGCACACACTTGTGGTAGCCCTTAGACGGCGCGCCTTTTGGCGCCGAAAGCCACAGTAAGAAAGCGTGGCCCCCATCACTCATCAGCCCCTATGGGATGCAACGGGTCCAGACTCCCAGGTCATCAACACAGTTTTAGACGCCGGGGGAGGTCTCGAAACGCTCTCCAGGAGAGGGTTTTTTGCTTTGTCTTTTAGCAAGCCTTAATCTCACCGTGCCTTCCAGCACCGGTGTCTTGCAGGGAGTCCCGGAAGGTAAAAACTGATCTCTTTCTCAGGACTCCAGCGTGGCGGTTGGGGTGAGGTTTGTTCCCCAATCCACTGTCGGAGTCCCTGGACCTTCCTGGACCAAGCAACTGTCTCGGGCGGCGCATACTGTTGCTTCGCCTCGGAGTCAGTTCAATTTCGCAAGCCTCTGAGGGCTGATTTGCTTGGTACAATGACAGCTCGTTATTCAGCCGCATGGCTGATGAATGATTGGATGGTTCGGTGATGGAGCCGACTCGCCGAGCATGGTTTATTAATTTGATGTATGTACCTGAACTGGACTAGAAGAATCATTGTTGTGGGCTGAATTGATGAGGGTAATGTGGACCTGGGAATTGATTTCCAAGGCGGAGAAACAAACCGAATACATAGCTCAACGGTTGACCTGACTCCGTGCCGCAGGAGGTCCCGGGCGGGATTTTGGTTGACTTGGCTTCTCGAGAACCTAACACAAGTCGCCATTTCCTGCTATGGTCGGCGTTGGCGTGCGAGTGGCCTCGGGGCTCTCACTCAGAGGCTAGTGTTAGGCTCGGGCTTCTCGCCTCCAAGAGAAGATGGGCAACTTGGTACCGAATCATTTGCTTCTAGTTGTGCAACGTAGCGTGTATCAGATGGACTCCTTTACCATTATTGCCCTTTCCTGCGCTCAACTTCCAAGAATGTGTGTTATTGTGTAATGATTCCTTGAAGCTCATCATTAGCTTTCAATGGAAATACATTCATTGATTTTCGGGAGTTTGGTTGCTTTGGGTGTTTATATGATAGATGACATGAACAAAGGTGTTCTGACCAGAATAACTTTTTTCTTGATAACTGGTCTCATAAATCAAACTATTTCATGTGATCCATGAGGGTTACAACCCCTGTGAGGAGGTCCAGAATACAAACACCGAGCATAAGGCCAGAGCTGAGTATGTTGTGGTCGGAAGAACATAAATATAAATGCACACGCAAGGATACAGGGAACTAAAAATGCGAAGAAAGTGACCGTGCATTAATAAGTTTGCTCATCCAATTCCAAGGGCGCTAAACCGCTGGCTGATGGTCAAGTGGAAGTGTGATAGCTTCTATTATGTAATGTAATAATTTTAGAAAAAGAAAGGTGAAATGAATTGAATAAGCTTCGAAATTTTCCAGAGCCTCTTATTGAGTACCCCACTTATGAGAAAACTGGCAAACAAGAAGAGGCTAACATTGAGCAAGGGGTACGATGGGACCAAACATAGGAGAAGATATATCATAAAAAAGGGGACAGTAAATTGAAGTATATGTGTTCCACCAGATTTACTCAGCCAACAGAGGTTTATAGTCCCGAAGCAAGACAGGGACGCTTTGGACGGGAATGATGCCAGCCTCGGTGATGACCATGGTGATGTCTTCGGGTCTGGTGACATCATACAACAGCGACAGCTCTTGGATCTCTGTCTCCTCGCTCTCTTGCGAAGGGGTCGGTAAGGTGTACGGAAACGTGAAGAGATGATGGTATGAAGCCGGGGGGATATTTGATTGCGAAGTACCTTTTGAATACAGAACCCAAAAAAAGATTGACGGGTTGAGTGTTAAACAAAGGACTCTCTGGATGCCTAAATTAAACAGTGAATGCAGATGCAGCGCGAGAAGACACTCACTGATCTCGTTGCTGACAATGCTGTCGAGCATGACCCGATCACTGAACTTGTAAGTTTCGCAACAACAGACGACGGGGATCCCATAAGTCTTGCTGATCATCGCGATCATTGCTGTCCCAGCCCTGCCATAGATGGCGCCATTTGCTAGCATAGCATGGGCGCCGAGGAGGACGAGATTGACGGTCCGGAGGATCGGGCCGATCGCGGTAAGCAGGATGTACGTGCAGTTGATGCCCACGCCCGACAGCAGCTTGAGGAGGTTCTTCGCCTCGTAGGCCGGCCGCGAGTCTACTAAGACCACGCTGAACTTCACCCCTTCCTGGTGGGCTTGGAGAAGGACGGCTTGGATGATTGAAGAGCTACATTTTACATATAAACAGGTCTGTCAGATGATTGTCAGAGAGGGCTAGCTGGCGGGGGAATGTACAAGCACTTACTTCGCATAGGTCATGATGACATCCCCATCTTTGATCTTGGTCACCGCATGTGATTGGATCACTTTATCAGCAACGACAATCCGATCACGTATGAACAAATCGATCCGATCACACAGGTAAGATTTGGCCTGAAAAGATGAATGGGTGTAAGTCAAGGTTGAATTAATGAGGGTAAGATCTATCTTAGACAGAAGGTAATGCCCACCTGTTCATCAGGCGTGTCCATCCCGATTCGACTGATCACCCCTTTCAGATGTCGGATCGCATTACCCATGCTAACTGATAATGGTCTGGCTTGTACAAGATGGGCGATCTGGGGTGACAGATGCGATAACAAATGTCGGGAGAGGGAAGTCCCTGATGGGGGAGAGTACGATTGAATGACCTGTTGGAATTTGCAACGAAATACTGTGTCAGCCATCTATCATATCCCTGATTGACTTCCCCTTTTTTCAAATTTTTTTATTCTCCTTTTTTTTTTTTTTTTTTGCAGCTCACGTGTTTGAATGCTTCGAGCATAGCCATGCATCGGGCGTTGGAGCCCACGATCCTAAACTGAGCAAACAGATGAGCGAGGCGGAGGATTGAATGATGAAGGACGGGGTTATTTTTGCGGGAAGCGTTGAGGGTATGAGTAGTGACGGGGGATTCGAGATGAAGGAAGAGCTGGAGAGAGTGAGGAAAATCGATCATCGGGTCGATCGGGCTCTTTTTGGCAGCCGAGGTACTACCAGTTGGACGAGAAGAAGTAGATGGGGCATTTATATTGTTTGACGCCTTTGGTTTGGAGGAGGTCGAGGGAGGCGGGGTGCCTTTGAGTGCGGCTTTATCGGCTCGTTGCTTTTCCTGGACTGCTCTTCGTTCCGCTTTGCTCATCTCTTTCATGCTGGGCTTGGAGTTTTTAGTCTTCCCTGCCGAGTGCTCTTCTGTTCTATTGGAAGCTGAGGAATCGACGAGATTTCCGCCGGGATGCTGTGATCGCCCATTCCCTTGGGATTGTCTCCTCGGCGTGGTACCAGAAGTGAGGCTCTTATCGGCCATGTCGGATTGGTTGGTCAAGGAGGGAAATGCGGACATTGCACTGCTGCCATAATACACACGGAAGAAACAGGTGGAAGTCAGTTTATTTGTTTCATTTCTGTTCTATAGCAGGGCCTGAACGATAGGCGGTGGTGAATTGAAAGACATACCGAGAGTGGTCAGGACTTGGATGGTTCCGTTCGATAAGGTTAAAGGGCAGTACTCGATCCACTCACCTCGGCTGGATGATTGGTTTCTTGGGGGAAATGGGCAAAAACCAAGAATGAAAAAAACCAAGGCTCTATGGACAAAAACAAATTGAACGCAGCCGGGGTCGAACCGACGATCTCTCGCTCTCAAGGAAAGCTGCTCATCCTGCATCGAAGGCGAGCGCCTTACCACTGGGCCATGCGTCCTTGTCTGATTACGTCATTGCTGCGTTTTCGATCGTTCCCCTCTCGCAGCTGCTGGGGTCTGTACACCTTGCTCAAGTAATTGGCTGTTGGCATATTATGCCAAATTTCATATTGACATCATGTCTGTAGGGGTTGTGAGTCATTTTGCCTGTCTGTTACATCAGCTGAAGTAAACCAAACTTGAGCTTGGTTGCTGTGTACATATTTGTTGAGTGGGTTGGGTATACGGTATACCTTTTGGTAAGTATTTCAGTCAGGTTACAAATTTTCCAATGCAAAGGCTGATACCATACCTTAATAGAGCATTGGGGCAGTGGGACAAGGCTAAAGTGACAGTCGGTTGATGATGTGAGAAACACAAAGCCTGGGTTCTGACAGTGATTCGGTTATTTATCGAGAGCTGGCAATCTTGAGACAGTGATTTGGTGATGTATCAGAAGATGAAGAGGGAAGGTGTGTTTAATGTCGTCTCTTCTTGGATTTCTGGTGAGCATAGAAATGAAGAAGATACAACTTATAAAGAGACAATAATGTAGACAACTCTTTATAAGCATATGATGAAAGTGAATATAAGCATATATAGAAAATAGCTACTGCAGACTGTGTAGTAAATACAATGGTAACTTGTACAAGGTACATTGGATTTACTTGCATGGCTGACAGTAAGTGTAAGATACTCAATTACCATTGTCATCTTGACTGGGATAAAGAAGAAATCATAAAAATGTAAGCAGATGATCCATCCAACCAGATTCTGTCTTTTTTATCATGTTATTAATCCCAATTGGCCACTTGCAGAGGAGTAATTCACACTTCCAAATTCAGTTTGTAAAATTTAAACAATAGAGAGACTTCCTTTCAAAACCTACACCACCAGTTTTGACTTGAAGCCCTGAAAGCTAGATTTCCCTTCAAGACTCTAGACTTTTTGGGTTTAAATTGATAAAACTGGGAGGCCCCAAATCCTATGGGAAGTCCTCCAGTCAAATCATGAGGTGAAGAAAAACAAATATCATAAAGATAAAACCAATAACATTATTGTTTGTTTCTCAAATCAAAAAAAAAAAAAAAGGTATAGACAAGCTTTTCACATCACGCGGTTTCAGCGCCATTTTTTGGAAACAGTAATCAATTTAGTTGATGCCTTAATGATTTTCCAAAGGAGGATGATAAATCTGGAAAGTAAATTCATAGGCCAGAGTTGGTGACATTGGATTCCCAACTGATCTCTGACAAACAGACACTTGATGAGGCCCGCCAAGAGGGAAGAGAAGAAATTGAATCCAAAGAGGAAGAAGTGGTTGATCATCTTGATATTTTCCATCAACCGCCTGATTAGTCAAACCAACATTCTCAAGATCCACAACTTTAGCAGGCAACTCCATTGTTTTACTTCTATTGTATAAGTTTACTACTTCATCATTCTAACTCTCACTCACTTCCAACAGTACAGAGGAGATAAAGGTCTAGATTATGTATGGAATTGCAATCAAAAGATGCTGTAATCCAATTGTTGTGGCTGCGTTTATGATCACTGTCAGATCTATAAAAATGATGGTGAAAATCAGACTGGCAGAAATGCACTCGAATTGAAAAATGATATGCGATGTTTTGTCATACAAGACAACAGTTTTCAGTACTGTACTACTATGGTTCCAAAATGGCGAAAAAAGAGGGCCTCTCATGGTTTCCCAGACCCTGAGGTGCAGGAATCCACAAGGACAATGTCCTCGACATTGATGAGTCTTCGACTTGTTGCTCTTGGTGCCCTTGAGGACTTTGTCGACGAGGTCGAAAGTTGATCGGAATGCCGATCCCTTGGAATCAAGCTCCAGAGATTGCAGATGGAAATCTGATTTCTTGAAGGAGATAGCCGAGCTCAACAGTGGTGTGGGGTAACGGATGAGAGTTCCGCTGGGATCGCTCAAAGGGAAATTGGAGACGACGAATAGGACGAGTGTCACCATCGATATCGAGTCGGTTTCTGGCTTGAAAGCCAGATGACCAAGACAAGCTTCATCGGGGTTTTGCTGAATTAAAGCTGATCGGCAAGGACGTAATCAGTTTCAGTTCCACCGGCTGGTCCAGCCAAGACCATATTGTTGAGCAGAACTAGACATGTGGGGTTTGTGGATCAAGCGACTTCCTCGATTGACTGCTTCTTCATACTCATCATCTCAAGTTGGCGAATGGGCCCGATTCCTTACTCGATCTCCTTCATATGACATTGTCAAAAGGCATCATATGTTTGTCTCAAGGCCAAGAGAGTCATTTGGCTATTTCTATGATATAAAGCCATCCGACCTTACAGTTCAGAAGTTACCTGAATAGAGGAGAAAAGTACTTCGGCATTTCTATCTTTTATTTTCTAATTGCAATGATTCAATAGGTCTATCTATTCCAACACATTCGTAGTTCATGTAACAGATTCCCTCAAAAAAGCAGAACTAGAGCGAGATAAAACCAAGGAGACCAGAATGACAGCTCAGAATGTTGCTCGCGGTTGATAGGGATCCAATGCAAGGATACAATTCTGTTTTTATAGACCGGAGTTCTGAACGTGGCATAGGGGAAAAAATAAGGTTCAGATGGCCGGGGCACGGGAATGGGATGCCAGTGTTTACTGACTGTTTCGGGCCCCGCTGAAGGTTCGGACAACCTAGTTTGTGTGGGGTTTTGGTACGTCGTGACAATTTGAAGTATCTGCGTTTGGCATTTTTTCGCCCTACATATGATTAATAGAAAATCCATGTCAATCACTGGAATGATCAAAGTTATGAAGTCTGATGAATACTACCGACATAGCTGTATCCTTTTACAACCGCTGGAGGACAACACTTGGGCCACCCCGAACTACAAGCAAACGGCATGTCCGGGTGGTTGTGATCATATTCGGCGCGTGTAACTTCGAGGTCACATTCCAATGGGGTGAAGAAAGGAATGTTAGCCTGGTTAACTACCGATACGCTGCTCGATTGATGTGAATGAGAAGGACAATACTCACCAAATTTCTGCACTTCTACATTTAGGAAAGTGAGATCAGGTTGTCAGGATTTTTTCATGGGAAGCATGGTTGCAACCGATGTCAACTGCTCCGTTGATAACGATGAGAATAAAAAACTCACTTGGATCAGTTCCGAAAGCAGGGGGATTCATTTGGCAAACACCTTCAGTCAATCCTGCTTCTTTGTTGCAAGGGAAGGACCATGCACTGGCATAGTTGCAAACGACAGCCAACAAAACAACTGCGGATAAAACTTGCATGTCGGGGATGGATTACCAAGGAACTGGGAGTTGGTTTGTGAGGTTTGATTGGTTGGAAAAGGCAAGTGTGAGGATCGGTGGGGTGAGTGGATCAGTCGATGGGGGCAATAACCCTTCTTACTTATACCATTTGGCATCCCCACCGACATACGTGCATCCCCTTGAGAATGCTATAGAGGCAGATGCACTCAGGGCCGAAAAACGATGGTTGAATCGGAGGCGACCCTGTCCAAGTACAAACGAACTAGATACACACATACATCCACGCGTTCACTGGTTGAGTGATCTGGGGCGTGCCCAGGTAAAATGACGCCTCAAGTCACACAGTTGTGGTGGTCCTGAGGGCGCGCCTTATGGCGCTGACAACTATTATAGAAATTGTGCCCCCCATCAGCCCGATCCTTTATTTATAATGTACCAATAAATCAAGCGTATGTACAAACATGTTAATATGTATCTATTGTTCCAAATATGTAGCGCACACGAGCGGTTTGCGATGTCACCATGGCCATGGGCTGCCATGGGTCCAGACTCCCGGGTCATTCATTCAAGCCTACAGCCTAGGCCCTGGCCCCTAGACAGTATGTAGATGTCGGTGGAGATCTCGAGTGGCTGGCGCCGCGCTCTTCTGGACATGTGTTTTTTCTTTTTCTTTTACAGGCCCTAATATCACTGTGCTTTAAAATATTGGTGTCTTACGGGGAGGCCCGCCAACCAAACAATGGATTGTTTCCACTCGGGTGGGTGGGTTGAGGGGGGGGGGGGGGGAGGTTTCTCTTGTTCCCCGATCCATTGTCGGAATCCCTGGAGAAAGAAATTGTTAACTGTCTCCGGCGGCGAGCCGGTTCGACTTCGCAAGCCCTCTGGGGGCTTATTGCTCGTCATGGCAGCTCGTATTCCAAGATACAAACACGTACATCTTGACGTGGGGTTGATGGCTAATTGAATGGGTGATCGAGCAGTGCATGGTTGGCGAATCAAGTTATAATATTAATGCAGAAGAATTGCTGTGGAGTCAGTCCTTGTCGGTGATGTGGAACTCGAAATTGACTTCCAAGTTGCTTCATGTTTTCAAAAACAACTTGGTTGGCTGATGACTGACTATGCACCTGACAGTGACAAGGTCCCAGCCTCCAGGTGGCTTTGAAATTGCTGTTACTTGGCTCCTCGCCCCCAAAAGAAGATGTGCAAATTTCTGCCGAATGATTTGCTGTTGGTTGTGCAACGTAATGTGCATCCGATGGATGCCAGATGGTCACCATGATCCCCCTTTCCCTTCAGATGGTTTTCGTCGGGAAAATTTTTTGCGATCATCACATTCTTCTCATTGTATCTCTCTGGCTGCCACCTCCAGGCTAAAGTTATTTCGATATTTTCCGCTCAGATTGCAGCGTCTGCCTTGAAATTGAATGGCTTGAAAAGTAAATCTTGAGAATCAGCAACAAGTAAGAAATAAATCTGTGTACAGGGGAGGGTTAGGTAAAACAAGCATGTCAGCAACAAGTGCAAAACTATGCGCAAAACTATGCGATCTTGAACTGTAGTATGTACTTTTTTTTACCCTCAGGTTTCAAGGTAAATCTATCCTGGTATATCCCCATCTTTGAGGAACCATGTTAGGAAGAAATTTTGACATGTCACAGTTTTTGTCATTGTTGTTGGAAATGTAATTCACCTTGATGGACAGACCTGACATGGACAGAGAGATTGGAGGACTTCCCATTGGATCTGGGACCCTCTTAGTTTGTGATTTAGATCAGAAAAGTCTAGATTTTTGCAGGGAAATCTAGCTTTTGCGGCTCTAAATCAAAACTGGGAGACCCGCAGATGTCGACAGGAATTCATCCATTCATTCCTAACCTGATCCTACACTGCAAGGAAAATAGGGGGTTTCAAATTTGATTTTTGAACAGAATTCTGCACAACAATATCAAGATCACAGAATGTTTGAGAAATGTTCCAAACAAAGAGTGTTGGAATCTTCCGCTCTCCGCTCCTTTTCCCTCTCTCTTTTGTACTTCTTTCCACTCTCCGCTCCCTTTCCGCTCTCTTTTTTCTTCTTTCTCTCTCTCTCTCTCTCCGCGCCGCTCCCTTTT